AATGCTACGCATGTACCGCGGGAAGCCTCGCATAATTCCAGATATCAGGGATGAAATTGTTCGGGAAGTGGCCAAGGTATAAGATAGGTATAGATGCGCGTTGTTCCTGTAATATCCGTCTTTATACAGATGCAAGGCATTATGAACGCTGGAAAAGCACAATTTGAACATATGCTGTGATTGATTAGACATTAAGTTATAGTAGTGCCCATGGTGGCAACAGATGAAAACTGGAATTTCACTCTTCTTTGCCATACCGTTGATGAGATATGACGTGTTGAACTACAAAACGTTCTTTATAATCACCATGTACATTTAATATCTGGAACAAATGTTAGTGTAAGTAGAAAAGAGATATGCTATAATACTGGTGTCTCTAAATAGTCTGAGTTAATAAGCGATACCAAACAATGTTTTGTTATATTCATTTAATATCTAACACAAGTCTTGCTACCAGTTGGAATGTGACATACTATAACACTGGATTTTATGCAAAAAAATCTCATTATACGCCTTGAACTACCAGCACTTAACCGCAAAATCTTAACGTGGTAGTTAGTAGAGGCAATAGACATATAAGCCTTTCATAAATATCACATGGTAACATATACTATTAATTTTTACCCTGCAGAAAATGATATGATAGGAATCCTAAATATTTTGGCAAAGTTATGTGTTATTATTAAAATATCTAACACATATAATAGAGTAAATTAAGTGTTATTCCTTTGACTTAACAGATGCTACAAGTATGATAAATGATTGTTGAAAGATACCCTTAAAACTATAGTATTGTAAATTGTATTAAGAGTTAAACAAATATGCAGTAAATACCGAACTCTCTGTATTTGTGATAAATATTACACTGTGTTTTATGCTTCTGGTATTTGTAATGAGCATGAAATGGCAAATGATATTATCCTTCACACCACTAGTATATATGAAAACCTTAACACTGTATCTAATTTCACACATATGAATCCAACAAAGTAAATGTTTGATTTTTGTAAAATCTACTCTGATATTACACCGAATAAACTAAACTTATATTATGTAGTACCTCAATGTGATTGGTGAATGTCATGTTAACATTATGTAAATTACACTATATATTCGAATATAATTTATTATTTAAACTTTATACTGTCAGTTTCGGTTTGAGTTTTAGTTAACGCTCCCGAAGAAGCTGTAAAGGGAAACGTTGATTGTCTAATTAAATAAAAACCACATTTTGGTGTTATAAGGTCGTTTATTTCTAGTATTAATGTGTCTTCTATACATCAATATGCACTACAGAAATTAAATAATGACCTTTATGTGATCAGTGAATGTTGTGTTAAAACACATATGGTGCTGTAAATTAGACTATGCAATACCTTGATGTGATTGGTGAATGTTGTGCTAGCGCACACATGATATCTTAAATTAGGCTGTAACACAATGTGATTGATAAATGTTATGCTGTAGAGTATTTCATCCTCTTAATATCTACAATGCAGTAATGTATGAATATTTCACATTGTAAACCATGTGTTAAGGTTTGTTATCCTCTTGATATCTATGAATAGCCTAATGCAGTAACATATAAATATTTCACACTGTAAATCATGTATTAAGGTTTGTCATCCTCTTGATATTTACATTAATTTAATGTAGTAACATATGTATATTTCACCCATTAAGTCATGTATTCTTAAATTTATTTCATGAATCATTAAAAATTAAGTTATGTGTTCACTGGTAGTACAACCCCCAAAGGAAATGTTAAATATGGTTAAAATTTACCATCCTCTTGATATCTAGAATTATTCGATTCAATAATTCTAATGTTAAAAGATTTTGCACTACAAAATTGCTAAAAATTCTAAATGTTAAATCCATAGAAAATTGATAGGTTATATGTCAATATAAGTGTAACATAATTTTATAAACAAGTAAGATTCAGCACAAATGGTGTAATATAATATCTATAATAAGTGGAATATGATAAACATATGTGCTATCAACCTTAGTAACCTCGCAACTATGATGTAGTTACCATACGTTTCACTCTAGATATCCAAGTATACAGAAAATTGTATAATGGGTTATATTGCCTTGGTATCTACAAGATGTCTTATAAAGAAGACAATGCTAGTTTCATGTTCAATCTTTAGTGTAATTAACATTAACATTATGCTATGATATATGTTTTGTTATATATATCCTGAAATTTTTCAACATTGAAATGGCCTATGTTAGACGCGTTTTATAATTATTATCTTTATTATAGCGTACTTTTTGTTTGAAAATATATATAGCATATTTGATTTAATATTAACGTTGTGTGTTATAGATTCTACATCTCTAAGATGTAGTTGGTATTAGCAAAGAGAAATGACACTACTGTATATATAATATTCAAGAAGTCTGGTGAAGTAACTAGGATATCATGTTATGTCTTTCATATGTAATAAGTGTAATATTGTATACCAGTTGCAATATACAGCTAGTAGTCCTAGTAATTTTTATATAATACAACCACATACACGTATGATATATTTTTATAGCAGCATGCCTCAGTTTTGAGTTACTGTAATACTAAACAAGTGCTACGTATTATAATTCTGGAATCTGGAGCAAGACTGTAATACTAAATAATGCTTTGTGTTATAGATTAGTATCTGTAAGCATGTAGAGCAATAAATCTGGTATTCTTTAATTTGATATAATGCAATGAAGTAAATAACAATATGTTCCATGTGTTGTATGTAAGAAGTCTATAAAGTACTCAGTGTTATCTGTTATTCCTTAATTTGATGTAGTGTGATGTAGTAAATAACATCAAGTGTAAATGGTTTATAAGTATACATAATGCAAGTGTCAAATAAATGAATGTGTTATAAAATGGTTGTCTGCAAGAAATTTTACGTGTAATAATAAAATTAAACTTGATGTAGTACAATAGATCATATGTTGTGTTATCTACTATGTATCTGTAAGAAGTCCTTGGTATCTGAAACAAACTTTATTTAGTTTATTTGTTATGTGTCGTGTATTTAATACCCTTGCTAAACTGAAAATATTTAATTTAAACGATTACATATATTTTAATTTGTATCAAGATTGCTAGAATAAATTATGTGTTATAATCTTAGTAATGGTAGCTATGCAGAATCAGATTTGGTCTGCCATAATTTTGGAAGTTTTAATACTTTTAATTGTGCAAATAAAGTTGTTTAACTAATTAGATGTGCTAATATATGAGTTAAAACTTTAGTTGGGTGACAAGTAATCTGTGCGGTATCCCATAGACTCTGATTTAATAAATATTAACGATGTGTGGTGTTCCGAATTAAGTGTTGTTAGTTATTATTATATAGGTTTAATATGTATTCTAGCTATGGCATATTTAACGTATTCTATGCTTAGTGTTTTATGTAATTATGGTATTATCTAGTTCAGAATGGTAGAGTTTATAACATGGAGTATTCTAGATTAAATATTTCGAAAAGATGGGTACAAAGGCTGAGGAAAATATAACTTACTTGAAACGTACGAGAAATGTCTTCCAATGCTTTTTTTGTCAGTTTCAAGCTTTCGTTTGGAGTCATTGACTTTTGTGAAGTTAAATATTAATGCTAGAGGACGGGGGCGTTGAAAATGCTGTTTTTATGTTGTTGAATTATTGAATTCATCATATATATAACATCATAACCACGTCTTACTTGTTATATATATATATAGCAGTGATGGGGTAAATGAACTGATGTGATCTACATTAGGTATCTCTAACAAGTCGAATTTGATTAATGAAACGATAAATATTCGTTTTAGAGATAACTTATGAAATTATGAGGTTAAGCTGTACCTAGGTTAGATGTTTTATGTACTGCATCTCTGGACCTTAGACGTGCATGATATTTCTATTTCTCTTCTGAAGTTTTCGTCAAAAAAAAACGCTGTAGTTACCAAGTGGCTTGCTAATGTTTGCAAATTATATAGCGCGACCTTAGAGAGTTTCGTTTTGTTTCTTTGCTGTTGTTGTTGTTGTTGTGTTTTTTGGGGGAAGGGGAATAGGGCCCAGGGTTATAGGGAATTAAATTCAGCTAGAAGAATTTATCTGTCACATTTCGTGCATACAAGTCAGATTCAGTAGATTTCATACAAACTGTTTAATTCGATATTACTGGTTATAAAGTTTAAATTTATTATGGGATATTTTCTGAATTAATAATAATCTTATAAAAATTATTTTGCATTGCTGACTTTATATGAATTTAGGAGTAGCCTAAGCCACCTAAACTGATCGATAATCAAGGGATATTATTGAGATAATAGTTTAAATATCGTTAATTACGATGGTACATAACTGACGTTTCTTTGCAGATTAATTATTATGGATTATAGTTTTCTTGTGCATTGATCTGGAGCATTACACATTTCTAGTCAGATTGTTATACAGTATTTTCTCATTAATCTTTAACGTACTTTTGAAATGATGTTTAGTTTTGGTCTATATGGCTAGATTACTTTGACCAGAAGTTCTAAACGTGTCATACTTGTTTTATGTCATAATTTATTTAACAATTCTATTAGTATATTCGTGGATATTTACAGTTTACTTTAAATGAGTTTATATTTTAAACACTGTTTGTAAGTTCTATGTTTCGTATGTTATTACAAAAGTTCTTCACCTGAATTCAAAAATAAATTTTATAAACAGAATTGTTGCATTTTGCTTTATTATTTGAATATTAAGAGCTTTGTCTATGTGTTCTTTTGTTTAACATAAAAACTTCAAAATACAGAGAAAGCTGATGTAAGACTTCTATTGTTTTATTTGAAATTTTAGTCAGAAAAATCCTAAACAATTTGGTTTACAGTAAATGGTAATCCATAGAAACGGAATACAAAATTTGGACTCTCGGGTCCTTATTTGAAATGCACCCCTACCTTATTTTGTTTTTCTCCAAATAAATTAACTTAAGAGATCTTACATAAACTAGTTATGTTCTTACCTGAGATAACAAATGAAATTCCTCCTGCAAAGATAAGAACTCGGTATTTTTTGATAAATTGGCCCAGAAGAAAGAGGAGTTCCCCAGCTGTTAAGGTGAACGAGCTCAAAAAGATAAAAGTGGCAGCTCGCTTCATCGCGTCTGAAGAGATAGCGTTAACAATTACTGTTGATGTTGCCCTTATTTTATCAATAAGTTCTTCGAATACGTACATACATACATAAATATACGCACACTTATACTATAAATAATACAAGTGAACAATAATAAATTGAATAAAACAATTTAAGTAGTACATTTCATTACCTAGCAAATACAACAAAACTTTGAAAGAATTTTGACTTTAAAGTAAATGTATTATTAGAATATGATGGAGTAATATTTGTTTACCATAATATAAAATGTTTAGGTCGTTATTTGAAAACATTTGGAAAGACAGTAATATAGATTTTGGTTATTGATATTTTCATAATTACCAAGTTCATTTGAAAATAATTTTCTTGAATGTCAAGATATAGCAATGTAAATAGAAAACTGATATCCCGCTATCTCAAAGAGTTATCAAGGTATTAATATAACTTCAAGGACACTGGAGTTAGATAGAGTACAATAACAATAACTAACCACCTGTTCATTATTTTATTAATTTGAACAGTTTGTTTGTCTTAGAAATTCGCGTAAAGCTATCAACCAAAGACTATCTACCTAATTTTGAACCGACAGACTAGATGAAGGATAGTCAACTCTTAGGCTATTCTAATAGAATAGTAGAATATGTTTGTTACTTTTATTACACAGTCACGACTCTAACGTGCGGAGTTCAGTTTTGTGGCAACGGAATACGAACCATGAATCCTCGGATTCGTAGTCCGGCAAGCTAATGATTAGGTGTTCTTGGTTCAAAGATCCGTTTTCTTTAAGAACTCATTTTCGTATGTCAAAATTTTAAAACTTGATTCTGTGTTATTTGGCAAGCCTAATAGGGTATTGATTCCCAAGAGGTGGCATGTGTACTCTCAGGAGTACGCGAGCTAATTCTAACAACAATAAAAATAACAGTAATAATTATGGTATAAAGTTAGATAAAAATGAAATACCGCATTGTTTAACGAAAGTAGCTAAGTTGTCAACATTGCCAGCCTCTTTGATTGTTTTGCTAAAAATTGTTGGTCAGTCATAATTTGAGATGTTTGTTTTTTATTGCAGTTGAACGCGCTACATATTTTGATTGTGATGTTTGCTGTATGAAAATTAAATTTAGTGATAAATTTGTTCATAATAATTAGAAAAACACACACATGTGATAAGAGATAAAAGCGTACAGGCACGTGGTACTGTTAGGACCACTAAATGACAAGGGTCAGCTTAGGGATAGTTCTATCAAAAAAGTTGGGAACCATTGAAGTAAAGAACATACAATATTATTAAAGTTCTATCACTGGAGGTGATGTTATTTTATTGGTTAGCAGTGTGTAACGATGTAATTCTGCGTTGTATACATATCAAAATATAACACATATCTGATACAAATATACTCTTTGATATCTTTGAAATAAAATTAATATAGTATCATTCGGTGTCAGCATAAAGTTTTAACACATTACTGGTAAATGTTATCAAATGTCGTTGACATATCTATATATATAAAGCAAATAAATCTGGGTGTCTGTTTGCTTGTCCCTTATCTAACTACTCCTTGGTCACTGGGTCAATCTCAACCAAATTTTGTGCGATGGCAGGCTGGAACAAGGGGTATGTTAATAGAAGATTCGCAACTCCTCAACCCTCATTACTGCTGTTATTGAGCGTTTATTATCTTTGACGTAACATTAACTACATTCATAGATGTCGCCACGCCCTTACACAAAAAACAAAAACAATTAAATTATACATTCATAATTAGCACAAAAATCTGTGTCTGTCTGTTTGTCCCTTATGTAACTACTCATAGGTCGCTGGGCCAGTTTCAACCAAACTTTGTGGGATGATAATTTTGAACAAGGGGCATGTTAATGAAGGGATTCACAACCCTTCCACCAACATTACTGATGTTATTGAGCATTTATTATTTTTGACGTAAGTTAACGTTAACTATATTCATATATAGCACCACGTTCTTATACCAAACAAAAAAGAGCTATATTAAATTTCCAGTCCTCCAGTGGAACAGCAGTAAGTCTTTGGATTTATAACGCTAAAATCAGAGATTTGCTTCCCCTTGGTGGACACAGCAGATAGCTCGATGTGGCTTTGCTACAAGAAAACCCACACACATGAAAGTTTGTATAACACAACATACATACATCGTGTGGGAGGGCACACACACGTTTTACATATCTCAGAGAGTGCGCCAACTAATTAATAACGTGAAACAGTGTGGAAGGAAATTAAGAGGTGGGTGTTAAATGCGGGTAACAGAACGCACCTCTATCGCCTCTCAAATTTTTTTGAACGTTCGTTGCATACTTGCGTAATGACATGAAAAATTCAAGCTTCGTATTATCATTTTTCGGTCTTTTTGGTCTTTTTTTACTATATTGGCTTTTTGAAAGAGTATGTGTACTGCAGTGAAGCTTTTTAATTCAGCTATGTTATCGTTTTCCTGCTACCCCAGGTTACTAAATCGATGGTTCTTAAACAAATTC